ATTATATTTGCAAATGCTCACAATAACCTGTAGTGTGAAAAGCAAAGAATAAGACCATGCCCCATTTTACTATGGATTTTTGAATAGTATACTTACATAGATCTTAGAGAAAGGTAGATCTTAACCGTTTATTTTAATTGTCAAAAGATTTGATGCTTTCATGGGAGCATATTATCTGCTTGTTGCTTGGGTAAAATCCAATCCAAGAATGCTTTTAGGACCTCAAGTTTTGGGAATTAACCTCTTCATCCTGGCAACTAATATTAAAAAAAAAAAAGGAAAAAAAATAAATCTAATGTTGTATATGTCTGAAAAAAAAAAAAATAAATAAATAAAATAAAATAAAATAAAAAAATTAAAAGATTTAATAAAGAATGTCCAATTTTTTGAGTGTGGGATCTATGTATTAAAGAACTAAAAATACAAATCAGAATAATTATCTGATGATTATTAAGTTGATCCGAATTTTAGATCGAAGAAACCATTCCATATAGCTCTTTTGCCCAAGGAAATAAGTCTACAATATGCTTCTACAAACGATATAAAAGAATATATAAGCCATAAACACTAGATAATGATCTTGTGATCGAGGATCTGGATGGTCAATATCATTTTGCTCTAGGAGTGAAGGTGAAGAAGACTTGCTCATTTTAATGCCGATGAGTTTGGCTCATTAGGCCATGGTTATCAAGACGGGATCGGACCAATCAGTCCAGGTGGTCAGACTGTTACTAGTCTTGGCCTGGTCTAAAGCAATAAACAAATTTGGTTGAAAATTGATAAAAAATTAATGTTTGACTAGTTTTGGCCTATATAAGTAGCTAAAACAAAGTTGGTCAAAACGTTTTACTAATTTTATATTTTAAATTATTATTATTTGTTTTAAAAAATCCAATTTAATAAGTGCGACTGGTACTTAGAACCGATTTTGACTCGACCATAACCCCCACATTAGACATTACGATCTCGATAACACTATATTAGATCATTGGCCCCATAAATAAGGGTCTCTTGTTAAGAAATTTAAAACACAAGTGGAGATAAATAGAAACTAATTTAAGATATTTTTTGGAAGAAAAAATAGAAAGGCCATGTCATGGTAAGCTTTTAAGATATTTCTAGGAACTTTGTATCATTCCAATTTGAGGGAGTTGCTCCATTGTTTCATCAATGACATTGCAAAAATTAACTTGTCAAAATTTACTTTGAAATTCATCATTATATCACGTCATGATGTGAAGTGACAACAAAATTGTCAATAATTTTCACCAATTAAATAACCATGGTCAAACTTTAAACTCCAAATTAAAATAATTGATGAATCCTAACATCACTTCAAATCATAACTTTATCTTATCCCATATTTACATATTCGATTTTCCTTATACCGTTTATTTGAGCCAAATCTGAAATATATACGACCCTTTTAACTTACATAAATTTTGATGATATGTACTCTTTTCCCCGAATTTTTACCTCAAAGTTTTGGAAATAAAATGGGTTTATAATCAATATTTTTTTATTTATCAGTATATTATTATTCCGGGACTTGCTAGTTATGGTTTGAAGCTGATTCACCAGGCAAATGATACCCAAAAGCATTGCTTCGGTTAAAAAAAAAAAATTTAATATAAGGATTGTATACAAGGAGGTCACAAATACCTCTAGCCATTCAATTTCAAATTTGGCTGCTTGAGTTGTCTCATGAAGCTCGAGAATTTTTTTTTTTGAATTTTGAGATGACATACTGTAGAGGTAAGGTGCACCTTCAAATTTTATCACGGTATATAATTTTGATGTAAAATGTTTTTAGGATTATCTGAAAAAACTATTTTTATATCTAATTATAAAATTTAAATATGGTTAAAATCAAGTAAATCTATAAACATATGAAAAATTTGAAAATTAACGGTGTAGATAATTTGTTGTAAAATGCACTATTTCTGAGACTTAATTTTTTTTTTTTTATGGTCAACCATCTTGATGTCGAGATGATCAACCAAAGGGTTTTTAATATTAAAACTACCTTTTCTAATAGATTTTTGAGGTGCATCCATAGCTCTACATTATATGCATCCTTTTCCCTTAAGTAAATGGTGTCTCTATATAATTTTTCTATAATATATTTTATCCTTATCTTTTCCTCTAATATAATTTTCCTCTAAATATAATTTAACAAACTTTTAAGTCATCAAATTTGAAGGACTTCAGTGGCATTAAAGTATTTAATGAGGTTATAACATTTTTCTTCCCCTAGTGAAAATAACTATTATACCCCACAGTTTTGCCCTAAATATCGAAGTTACATCTCACCAAAGCTGACGTAGCATTTACTTTTCATATGTGTGCCACGTGGACCACCTGTGGCGTGCCACTTGGGAGGCGTGAAGATAAATTTATGGCCACTGTTTGGATTAGATTATAAATGGACGGTTCAGATTTCACGTTAGAATTTTTTAAGTTTCAATAGTTTCGGCAGATGGTCCGTAGTTTCGACTGATTTCGTTTTCGTCTCCTTTGGTGAGAAGTTAGAACACTGTTTCGTCCGCACGCGCACGCCAAAATCTACCGAAATTTTTGTCCAAAGCATGTGGAAACGAAATATCTCAATTTACTAGGTCAAATTTTAAAGGGTGTGGTTTGTATAGGGCTGAGGTCCTAAACAATCAAAGTAAGACACACCTTCAAATAGTGCTGAAGTATATTGTTTCAGGAATCTTTATGATGGCCTAAAACTTTATTGTCATCACTAGTTGTCAAATTTAAAAATTAAAAAAATAGTGAGATCAAACAAAAGATTTATAAACACTTGAAAATTGACGGTCTAAATAATATGTTATAAGATGCATTATTGTCGGGACTTGAAATATATATATATCCATCTTGGTGCCAAGATGATTGAATTTTAGGGTTTTTCAACATTGAAAGAATCTCTTATAGTGAATTTTTGATCTGCTCCTTAATTTTATTGTTTAAGGCCTCACCCTTATATAAACTTATTTGCAATCCGTTGTACTTTTTTTAATCGGGAAGAAAGCTCTAAACTCTTAAAAGTCTAAAATCCTAAGTTTTTAATTAAGATTCAATAAAGCTACGAAGGGGACCAATTTGTTCCCCACTGTTTTAGTCAAAAGCATGTTTTAATTTTGACTTAATCAAGATTTGTTAGATTAATAAAGGGGACCAATTAATTAATCACCCCAAGTTGGTTTTTTCTTTTTTCTTTTGATCTCTTAAAATAAATAAATAGTTTAATTTAACTGTTTGTTAAATTACATTAAAAACAAAAAAGTAAAGCATCTATCAGAAATCTTGTTTGGAAAACATTGACCGTGGGAAATCCTTGAGATGTCTCTGAAATATATTTCCACTATCAATTATAAAATTTGTAGCTCAAACAGTAGTGGCGATCGTGAAGGTATGTGAGCACTTGAAAATAAATGGCTTAGATAATATGTTACAATATACTTTTAGGGCTTGACATCCATATTTTATTTCATATTGATTTGAAGGGTTTTTGAAACTAGAACTATACTTTTTCAGAAGTCTTAAAGCGAGGCCTTCTTATTTGATGTTTTGAGGGCTGATTGGTAACCTAAAACACAATGTTCGCAAAATTGAATTGGAACGGTTAGCCGGACATGTGCTCGGAAGCGGTGTAACCAGCCTAACCGGTAAATCGGCCGATTCTACCGCTCTAATCGGATAAGTCTCGAGCGGTCAAAAAAGTGTTGAAAAAAATAAAAAAGATACAAAAAAAAAATCTATTAAAATATAAAAAACATATAAAGAATGATTAAAACAAAACAAATTCAAATGAAATTGAAAATTAATGAAAAAATGGATTTTCACCGATAGATTTGTGCTTAGGGATATTTTTAATTTTTTTTGAAAAGGATGAAAAAATATAAAAATAAATATTAATGGTCAAAACAATTTTTAATCTTCACCATAATGTAAAAAATATTAAAAAAGGCATTACAAATCAAATTCCTGATTTTTAAGAATTTTTGTATATATTTTTTATTTTTTTAAATACAGATTGATCACCAAAACCGCCAAAAACCATAACCAGTAAGTGGCTGATTCCAATCTAAGTAAGTGGCTGATTCCAATCTAACTGGGTGGCTTAGCAGTTGGATCGCCTGGTTTTGCGAAAATACCTAAAACATCAACACTACATGAATTGTTGATTTGGGTGCGATTACTAAAACACCAAGTGTCAAACCACACCCCTTTTAACGAAAAATAAAAAAGTGTTTTAAAATGCAAAATCGAAAATCTAGTCCGTCTATTTTTTGCAAGGTACATTATTATTAGGACTCAAAATATATATATATTTATATGGAAAAAGTTTATACAAGGATGCAACCTTATAATGTAGAACTACAGTTGCACCTAAAAAATCCATCAGAAAATGTAGTTTTAATGTCGAAAAACCCTTTGATTGATTATCTCGACATCGACGTATGACCATGAAAAATAAAAAGATTTTAAGCCTCATAAATAGTACATTTTACAACATATTATCTACGCCGTACATTTATAGGTCTACTTGATTTTAACCATTTTTGAAATTTAAAAATTTATAATTAGATATAAAAATAAATTTTGAGATAATCTCAAGAATATTTTACATCAAAATTATATACCATGATAAAATTTGAAGGTGCACATTACCTCTACAGCTACGGATGCAGCCAGCTGCACTTTTTTTATATTCATACATCTCAATGTCGAAAGGATCGATTAAAGAGTTTTTTAATATTAAAATAACATTTAGATGGAATTTTCAGATACATTTTTATTTCTACATTTTAAAGTCGCTATCTTATATAAACTTTTCTCTTTTTTTGATATTTATTAATTATAATGTTTTTGAATGTTTTTTTTTGGATCCATGGTCAGTTCGACCTCATCTTTTTCTCTCTAAAATATCTAAAATCTGCTCTCACATTCTATTCTCTCTCTAAATCTACCCTCACTTTCTCTCTCTAACTTGCGTCATAGGAATCCAGCTCTTATCCTTTCTCTCTCCTCTCTCTCCCCTGTGGAATAAAAATCCGCCTGTCTCGAGGAGCCCACTGGAATGGGCTCTCGTCCGTGGCCCCTGGTTTTCTTCAACCCCCTTCCCACTCTCTCCTCACAAAACGAACAAAAATATTATTTATTAAACCCTTTATTTGCGCCCTTTTATACCTCTCCCCATCTCCTTCAACGCCCGTAGAACTCTCTCCAAAGAACCGCTCCTTAGATTCTCTCTTCCTTCCTCTCTGCAAATTTTCATCTTTTCCCTGTCTCTTTCTCAGCAAATTCCCATATTTTCTCCCCTCTGTTACAAAAATTTACATCTTTCGCCTTCTCAACACAAAACCCATCTCTAAAATTCTCATATACAGAGCAACCCACGTCTCAAATTCTCATCTTGAGAGAAAACCCATTTCTCAAATTCTCATATTTCCAGAGTTCTCTCTCTAGGTTTCCTGGCCACGCATCTTTCTCTCTAGATATATAGCTGCCTTTGTATAAATTTTTTTCACTCCCTTCCTGTCAAGATTCAATCATCTTTCAGTCTCCTATTTAGCTGTTTATTTGCCATTTCTGTTCTCTCTCTACTACCCCCATCTCTGTATTTTTCCATTGAATAGAGATTTTGTTCTCTCTCTCAATCTTCATTTCTTAACCATTTTTTGATTCAACCCATCTTCCAATTCCCAATTTTCACAGAGTTCTGTCACTATCTCCCTCTCTCTCTCTAGCCCTTCTCTCCCTATCTCTTTCATGGTGTTTGTATTCTGGAACTATTTGGATGAGGATAGAAATAGACAAGAGGGGCAATAGTTTTTGTGATTTCGGACCGGAGAAGAAGGCAAAGAAAACCCGTAGAAAGCACAAGAAAGCCATGCCAACTGCTGTTCAAAGGCTCTTTGAGATCTGCAATGATGTCTTTGCCGGTGCTGGGAGTGTTCCATCTCCTCCACAAGTTGAAAGGCTTCAATCAGTTTTAGGTACTCTCTTTCTCTCTCTAGATTTTGGTAGTCTGAAAAGAGCTTTAAGTGCCCCTAATTGTGGTGAAAAGCATAGATTTATGGGCGCATTTGAGCCGAATTCTGGTGGTTTCTGGTGTTTGAGGATTTCAGTGAATGGGGCTTCGAGCTCATGTGTTTTTTTAATAGAGAGAGAATGTCCAGTAGTTATAGTTTCATAGGAGGTATTTCTATTCTACCACAATGCGAGTGAGATGTTCTAGAGAGAGAATTTCTATGATATCACCTCCCCATTTTAGAATTCTTTTAGTTAGAGAGAGAATTTCTATGTTTTTCAAGGTACCATATAAGATTTTACTGTTTCTAGAGAGAGAATTTTTGCACCATTCCTAGTACCCATTTCATAATTTGTGGTGATTTAATTAAAACTCCTTTTTATCCAATTCCCCATCTAGGAAACTTCAGTTTAATTAGAGATCTGTTTTGTAAATCAGCACTCTAGAGTTTGGTCTAACTCAGTGTAGGGGCTAAAGGTCTGTAATTTTTGTGGAAGTGTTATTTGCTTCCAACTTTAGATTTTGTGGGTGGAGAATTCAGGGTAATTGGCTCTGTTTGATATACGATCTCTTATGGAATAGGGGTTTCTCTCTTATGCCTCTGGTCTAAATTGCAAAATTATCTCTCTCTCTCTC